TTGGGGGGGGGGGGGGTACGAAGCCGGTATTGAAGGGGTATGAAACCCGCGCTAAGCAGTGTGGACGTCCCAAGCCCCGCGGAGGGATTTTTTCGGGGAAAACAAGATCTATGCGAACAGGCAATCTCGTGTGAACTCCAGAATGTTCGAGGGCATGAGAGACAAATACAAACAGGGGGGCAAAACCAATGTATGTGGGGGGACTGGCTGGATTGGCGTGGGTTCTCCATTCATGGCGGCTAATTATCATATCCCCTCGAGACGGGCAGATCTTGCCCCACATTGTCCGCGTCAACAGGTCGAGGACCAACTTAAGGCTTCTTGGTGTCACCGCTGCTACCCTTCGTCTTACTGCTATCTGCTGCTTGCTGTGGCTCGGCGAATCCCTGTCTTACGACTTACTTAGCATATCGCGGAGTCCCAGGCGCACAAAAAACAGATGGGACGGTAAAACACGAAAAAAGAAAAGAACAAAAAAGTGTCGGAACACCACCACCGCCTTCAAATAACTCGCAAGCATCAACCAACAAGCCATGCCAGAAAACCAAACGAACCTTGTACGTACCACGTCTTAATGACTTATTTTACAACAATAAAGTAGTATCGTTTATACGCGTAAAACGGGTGACGGGCCTATTTTATACCTGTTGCCGATCCCCGCCGAGCTCGTCCTCTGAACATGGGATTCGATTCCTGCAACATGCCCGATATGCTCTCGTCGCCCATGGATGACGATGACATCGACTCGAACTGATGGTGACCAAAGACGGGTATTATTCGCACAAAGGCCCGGGGAGGGGGGGGGGGCGGGTTCAGCAGCGTGAAAACGAAATGGTACAGAGGGAAAACCATTCGTCCCGGCGGTCTCGGACGGAGGTTGTCGGTAGCGGTGGGAAAAAGGGTAAGGGGCGGACGGAAAGAAACGAGCACACACCAGCCGAAGCTGACGTACACAGACGCAGGCGCAACCCGACCACACGCGCGCCCGCCCGCCCGCAAAGCACCCCCTGCCCATTCGTAACACTTGAAACTGACGCCGTGTCATTGGCCAGCTGGTCTAATGCGGTCCATTCCAACAGCGAAACAGGCACGCAAACCAAACAGGCAAAAACCAATCTTGGCTCCCTTCCTGTAACCTTGGTGTTTTACCCTCTTGACTCTGCTGTCTGTCTTTTCACTCTAAGGGCGGTCGATGAAAAAAACTCACCCAAAATACACAAAACGGGGGGGGGGGGGGGGGA